CAATGCAGTCGTAGTAGTAGAAGTGGTAGTAGTCGCCATCGTAGAAGTAGTGGTAGTAGGAATAATCGTAGCAACCGTAATAGTAGTAGTCGTACTAGTAGTAGTAGTAGTAGCAGTAGTAGTAGTAGCAGTAGAAGTAGCGTAGTAGTAGTAGTAGCAGTAGTAGTTGTAGTAGTAGTAGTAGTAGTAGTAGTAGTAGTAGTAGTAGTAGTAGTGATCGTAGTAGTACTACTACTCGTAAGAGTAGTAGTAGCAGTAGTAGCAGCAGCAGGTGTACTATTAACAGTAGTAGTAATGGTTATTGTAGTAGTGGTCGTATTATCAGTAAGTAGCGGGAGTAGCCATATGTATAGATAATATTACATATCACTGCCAGGCGCGGGATGCTGATGAGTCTAGTCAGCAGAAGGAGATGTCAACTTCGATTTGCAACTTCCCCCCGCGATGAAAGTTCGACCTAGCCGCCCCTCTTCCCCGACCAAGTCTGTAATCTGGCCAGGGATAATAAATAAACTCTCAATCGTGAAAGGGGGTGTGCTTTATTACCCGAGATCAGTTATCTAGCTGCCCTCGTTTCTGGTGCCCGTGCGGAACCGTACGTATGACATGGTGGTGCACTTAGGGAAATAAGGGACATGTTGGAACGCATCCTTGTCATGACTTGTGGCTCCTCTGATAATCAGGCGAGAATGGGGACAACAGCAGCGTCAGCAGCAGCTCGAGGAAGGGCGGAAGAATCATGGCCTCCACCTTCTCCTCGTCCTCCCAGTTCCCCTCCTGCCCTCCTAGACAGTGTGCGTATCCTCCTCTTCTTTCCTGGCAGACGAGAATGACCAGGGGAATACCCATGTCCTTTGTATTCTCACGCGGCGCGACCACGTGGCCTCAGCTGCGCGACCCGCGACCCACACGGGGCCAGGGGGGGCTGTATGGGGGCGGAAGATCGCGCCGCATCGCCGATGCATCGTCGACGGCGGTATGGAAACACGGGCTCCAGGCCGCGCCGAGTCGGCGATGCATCGGCGATGCGTCGCGATCCGATCCTCCGACTCCGCCTGCTCTGGCCCCGCTTGGGAGGCCTGGAAGACGGTAGGGGGAGGGAGACGGGGGGAGGGGGAGAGAGCGTCTGCGTCTGGGGAGGGACGGAGAGAGTCGACTTGGAGGAGGGGAAGGGGAGGGATGGCCCTGAGATCCGACACCGCGAAACAGGAGACATCGTAGAAAATCACAACCAAAGCCCTGAACCCTGTCTTCTCTGCTGCACTTCCGAGCCAGATCGATCCCGTGAGGGTCCTGGGACCCGAAACTCACGAACATGCCCGACTCGAGCAACACCGCGACACCATGATCTCAGGGGGGGGGGTAGCACTGGCGATAACGAAAAATAACATAAACATAAATTATCCCAGTGCGACCCTACCTAGGAGTTGGAACCCCTAGGAAAGCAGCATTAGTAGTAACAGTAACGCTAAGCTAAAGCTAAGCTAAAGCTAAGCTGAAGCTAAGCTAAAGCTAAGCCACCGCTAAGCTAAAGCTAAGCTAAAACTAAGCTAAAGCTAAGCCACAGCTAAGCTAAAGCTAAGCTAAAGCTAAGCTAAAGCTAAGCTAAAGCTAAGCTAAAGCTAAGCTAAAGCTAAGCTAAAGCTAGGCTAGAGCTGAGCTAAAGCTGAGCTGAGCTAAGCTAAGCTAAAGCTAAGCTACAGCTAAGCTACAGCTCAAGCTAAGCTAAAGCTAAGCTAAAACTAATCTAAAGCTAAGCTACAGCTAAGCTACAGCTAAACTAAAACTAAGCTAAAGCTAAGCTAAAGCTAAGCTAAACGCTAAGCGAAAAGCTAAGCGAAACGCTAAGCTAAAGCTAAGCTACAGCTAAGCTAAAGCTAAGCTAAAGCTAAGCTAAAGCTAAAGCTAAAGCTAAAGCTACAGCTCCCAGGGGACTGGGGGGAACCGCGGGGCGGGGACTGGGGGAACCGCCCCGGGCGCTTTCCACTGCCCGGCCCCTTTAAGCTAAGAGAGTAAGAACCCTTCTAGGCCGAGCCTAGGTAGGGAAAAATCCGAGGTCCGCGCGGATTTCTCGGATCCGCACTGGACCCCCCCCCCCGGCGTGCGGAGCGCGCCAGGGGCGGCGCTAAGGCGCCGCCCGAGGGTTCCCAGCGCCGATCCGAGAAACCCGTGCGGACCTCAGAGTTACTATGTTTGCGTCATTGCTCGTTCTCCTGGGGGAGGAGGAGCAGAGGGGGGAGCGGTGGAGAGAAGGGGGTCCGGGGACGGGGGACGGGGCCGCGTTGTGATCCCCCCAGCGGCCTGCGCGCCGTTTTGCTGCCCAGGCCGTGCCAAGGGGGGGCCACCACCAGGGGGGGTCGCCAACCCCTCGAGGCGACGGAGCCCCCACGGACCCCCGCCAGACCAGAGGCACCCAAAAACTTCCAGGACCTCGATCCTCGGTTCTCCCTCCCTCCTCCTTCTCGACGCTAGATCCTAGATCCTATATCCTAGATCAGAAGACCTCGATCCTCGGACCTGGATCCTAGATTCTCCCTCCTTCTCGATCCTCGGCCCTCGAGCAGAAGAGCCCCCCCCAACACACACACACACACACACACACACACACACACACACACACACACACACACACACACACACACACACACACACACACACACACACACACACACACCACACACACACACACACACATATATACACACATACACACAGCACACAACACACACACACACCCACACCCCACACACCACACACACACATGGCCCCGTGCCCCTCCAGAGGGGTGTAGGCCAGGTGGGGAAGGGCTGTACCTGCTGAGTGTCACGGCGGCGGCTGGGGCGACACGCTATGCCCTGCGAGCGGATCGCGTGTCGCTTTGCTCCACGGGGCGGGAGGCGTAGGTGCTCCCTTGCCTGCCGAGCCCCAGAGGAGCGGAGAAGGGGGGCCTGGGTTGGGGGTGGAGGCTCGCCTTGCTGGGGGAACGAAAACTGGCATAAACATAGAAACTCGGAGGTCCGCGCGGATTTCTCGGATCCGCGCTGGACCCCCCTCCCTGGCGCGCTCCGCGCGCCAGGGGCAGCGCCAGAGGCGCCGCCAGGGCCCCAGCGCCGATCCGAGAAATCCGCGCGGACCTCCGAGTTATCATGTTTATGTCATGGTTCGTTTCCGTACCCTCCGTCCCGACTCGAGAGGAGCTGGCAGGCCCCCTGCCTGGGACCCCCCCTGGCGCGGCCCGGGGCTGCGGCACCATCACGAAGCTCCCTCGGGCTGGCGGCTGCAGCCCTTCTGGGCCGCACGGCCTCACCAGCATCTGAGACGCCATTGTGCCCTCGGCCCCTCCTCAGAACAAGACTGGGGGCTGGATGGCAATGATCTGGAGGAGGGGACAGAAGGGGGGGGGCACAGGGGACAACAAAGGGAAGTATGCTCGAGGAGGGGGATCGCAGCATAGATATACAGGGCGGACCAAGAACGTGGAAGAGGGGAAGAAGTGAAAGGGAGATCAAGGAGAGTGGGGGGAGGGAGGGAAACGAGGCGGAGGATCGAACTTTGTGAGCGCCTTTGGACCTGCTTGAGCCTCCGCTGGCTTCCTGACGAGGGAGCGGAGCGGAGCGGAGGCGCCGGTTCCGGGCACCGGGGGTGCCCATGCCCTTTGGGCAAGGCGCAAGAGGCCGTGGCCTCAGACCGTGTGGGTGCTGAAACTCTGGATGACATAGTTCACGAACCAGAACAAATAGAGCGCGTGGGAGGAATAGGACAGCAACCAACACAAATAGAAAATGTGGACGAAGTAGTACACGAGCCGGCGCAAATAGAAGACAGGGAAGACGGAGTTCAGGATTGTGCTTGTGGTCGGTGGTGTTTGTTTGTGGTCAGTGCTGGTGGTCGATTCCTGTGTTCTGTCAGTGTTGTTGGTCGGTGCCACGTGCTGGTGGTCAGTGTTGGTTCGTGGTGGTCGATGCTGGTGTTCGGTGGCGTTTGGTGCTGGTGGCGCTGCTGGTCGTGCGGGAACCTGGTGGTGCTGGTGGCGCTGCTGGTGGCGATGCCGGTCACAGTCAACTGGTGTATGCAAGGAAGCTGCTTTCAAGTGTGTCCCACCACGTTGTCTCCGTTGCGGCTGTCAACCATCTTATGTCGTTGCTGTCGTAGTGGATATGCTGCCGTGGGCGAGTGGCTTCGTTGGTGTTGCCTTGTGCGGCTGCGTCGCTGGTAGTCGGGTGCAAACTTTTGAGAAATTTTCGAATGTCGTCGTCCCACCGCTTTTGTTGACCACCATGTTTCCGATAGCCCTGCTGACTCTCGTCAAGAGACAGGTTCCAGTTCATTGCTCGTTGTGTCCATCGGTTCGGTGGGTGATGTGCTACTCGTGCGGCCCAGCGCCAGACCTTTTTTCTGTGTATTTGCTCCACGCCAGGGATGTCGTGCATGCTCATTAGCCCTTCGGCTCTGCGCGTGCTACGACGGATGATGTCGGACCACAGCTCGCTGTCGTCCGTCGTCTGGTCGTCGCTAGTGTCTTCACGCGGAGTAGGCGGGTGGCTGGATGCGTCGCGGTCGCTGGAATCGTTGGGATCGTCTCTGCTGGGGTCGTGGTCGTTGTGGGTGTCCGTGGGCGGGGTGGGGTGTGTTGACGTGCGAGTGTTCGTGCGCCTTCTCGGTGTTCCGATGATCGCTCTGACCATTCGTCGTTCTGTGCGGCGTAGCTGTTGCCTGAGAGGCTCTGTTAAGGTCCACGTCTCTGCGCCGTACGTCAAGGTGGGTATTACAGTGCCACGGTAGAGTCGCAGCCTGTGCTGGAGTGGGTAATGTTTGCTCGTGAGCTCTTGTCTGTGCCCTGTGAAGCATGCCCACGCAGCCTGTATGCGATGTTGGATCTCTGTAGCCGAAGCGTCCTGGAACGTGATCGTCTGGCCGAGGTACGTCAGCTTGCCGGTGCACGGGACAAATTCGATGTCGATGTTTGATGTTTGCAATCGTGGCCTTGCGCGTTCGAATCCTTGGTTGGTTTGTCATGATCTTCGTCTTGGTCGGGTGTATTTCGAGGCCGTGGGATTTTGCTGCTGTGATTAAGTCGGTGATTAGCGTCTTCAGATTGGAAAGCGTCTGGCTCACAAAAAGGATGTCGTCGGCGGAGCGGAGGTTCGTGAGAATAGATTCGTCGGTGTGTGCCAATTGGACTCCACGTCGTCGTCGCTGCCACTCCGGGATGAGAGGCGCTAGCACATGTTGCAAAAGAGCGTTGAACAGCAAAGAGCTCAGAGGGTCTCCCTGTTTGGTGCCGCGTCGGAGCTTGAAGGGCCTGCTGGTGGAGTCGGTACGGATGACGGCCTCCTGGTCGTGGTAAAGGCGCCTTCCTGACGAGGGGGAGGACATGGAGGCGAAGCAGTGGACCGTTCAGCAGGGAAAATGGGAAGGAGGGGCAACAGAAGGACGGGGAGGAAAAGGAGGGAAAAACGGGACGAGGGGGAGGGGGAGGAGCCAGAGGGAGAGGGGAGGGACGGGGGAGAATACGGAGGGCCTGAGGAGGGAGGGGAACTGGAGGGGGGATGGTGGAGAAGGAGTGGCGCGGGAACGATAAACTCATTTTCCGACTGGAGCCCTGGGGCCCACCAAGCTCGGTACACGTGTCCTGTTCTGTGGTGGGCCGTGGCGCCTCGTGTAAGCGATGTGAGAACGGCTTGGATACTGACCGTGCAGAGCCAACACCGAGCAAACGCATCAAGATTGGTGCCTACAACGCCTGGCATGAATGAGAAAAACCCTGAAAGAAATGAGCCCTGGTTCTGGGGGCTGTCCCGTTCTATCGCGAGTCGTTTTTGAGACACCTGGGACCTCAGGTGGTCCACCAGAGGTTCAAAAACTGTGGATCAACATATTTCGCTCCGAACGATCCAAACACGGGAAGGCGAGCCGAGATCCCAAAGGAACACCAGACCCCTTCAATCCTGGCGGTCACGGCATACAGCCGTCATTTTTGAAGACGCGAGGCGGGATACCAAATACCCAGGGAGCACTGGGACCCCTTGGGCCTGGCGACCGCGGTATCGGGTGGGCGAAGCGGGCCGGGAGCTCTTGTCATTAAATCTACAACCCCAACCCGTCGGGTGGAAATGACACCCTTGCGGCAGGAGGGATCGAGACGGGGCAATAGGACAGGGATGAAAGGGGTAGGGATAGAATGGGATAGGTGGGGACAGAGGCGGCAACGGGAGGCAACGGGAGGCCATCGGAGGCCATCGGAGGCCACGGGAGGCCACAGGAGGAAACGGGGGGTAACGAGAGGCACGGGGAGGCAACGTCGCCCGCGCGATTTCGGATCCAACAGCGCACCTACCAGTTCCTCAGAGGATGTCTATCCATATAACCCTTTCAGACAAACTTCGGGGATGGACAGAAACCCCTTTAGTAAAACGTGGTTTAGTGAAAACGACCTCGGGCCCAAACCTGGCGGGCGCAAGCCTGGAAAATGACAGCCGCGGCGCCCCCTCGAGAACCGAAAACGGACAATTCACTAATCGACGTGTCAAGGTGGGGGTGCTGTCCACCCCCGAAAACGGTCTAGGGAAACGTCGACATCCGTTTCCCTGAGGACCCGTGAAGGCGGGGGGGGGGGATCCGAGCACGTCCCGCACCCGCTGGTGTGGCCGTGCGGGCATGGAGGGCCCCCCGGCTGGAAGCCGCTGCCGTAGGCGTCCAAGGCTGTCTGCCTGCTCGGAGGGAGGGGCGAACACTTCCTGCGTGAATGAAGAAGCGCGCAGAGAGGGAGCGCAACCATCCGACAGTCGATCCCGCTGCAGAGAGAGGCGCGGAATTATCAGATTAGAACATGTGCCTCGGTTGCTCCAGGGGCGCATGTCACTGCACATGCACCGACCCCAGCCCTTTGGGCGTGGATGGTTCAGAAAACATCTGTTTCAAAATTACGACACCCCTTCGGGGAGAGGCTTACCTCGTCAGCTCCAATAATTGATAAGCCACAGGCGACAACATACAGAGTACACTAACCACTGAAGAAAATAGTCAAATAGTTAACCATCCAAGCAAAGCACCCTAATAGCAACAGAAATGAAGAGGCGGGCCGAGGAATAGGAGAAACACGGCGGAGAAATCCTGAGAAAGAAAAGATGCAGCCAGTGCAGGGATGAGATCACGGCCATGCGCACCCTTACGGCGTGTAGTGGTGCTCAATTAGGTTCCACACCATGGGGCTCCCAACCTCGCCTATCGGAGCCCTCGTGGGGCGCTCTTTGAGTACTCTTGGGCGCTCGTGGAGCCGTTTTGTAGCCATCTTAGGTCCCTCTTTGAGCACTCTTTGGCCCTTCTGGGACCAGATTGAGGCACCGGGATACCATCGCAAGTGAAAATGCGAGAAGGCTAAGTTCAGTGATTTCCCTTACGTAGGTGTTTGCTGGATTTTGTCCTATTGGGGGCCTCCTCGGGTCCACTTGGACCCGTCTTGGACTGGTCTTGTCGTCTTTTGGAGCATGTTGGAAGCCTTCTTGACCAATCTTGCGGTTCCGTGGGCCATCTTGGAGTTCACCGTGGGCTTCCGGAGACCCTCTTAGAGCCACTTTGAGCCCGAAATCACCCTCTAATACCTCGCTTCCCCCCCTCGCCATGTCCAGGGGCAGGGGGTAGGGGGAAGGGCTGAGGCCCCCCCCAAGACCGCAAGCCGTCTCTATCACTCCCCCCTGTCCTCCCAACACATAAAGTAGTACCCGAGTCTCAGCACATCGCCGAGGAGCGCAACGCACACCATGTTCGCCAAGGGTTCAAGTGCACCGACGACGCCGTGGGACGACGTGGGCGGGGATGCCGTGGACTCGCACAATCTGGAGGACGACGGACCTGGCATCGACGAGTGCTGTTCTGATGGTGACCCTGCAACGCCTGAGCGGTGGGACCATGCAAGCACGGCGACATGGGACCCCACGTCGTCTGCCCAGCAGGGCCGTGAGGTGCCTCTCTCAACTACAGCATAAACAGGTCCATCCACCACCAAGCAAGCGGAGGGCCGACCGATAATGGGAACGGGAGTGCCCAAGGTGACACGGAGAGCGCTCCAAGATCGCCGCAAGAGGTGACGTTGGGAGCTCCCGAGGGGCGAGGCTAATCGAGGGACCCCCTGTCGCTGATCGAGATCCGCCAAAATGCTCCCATGAAGGCCTCGAAGGCCTACAAGAGGGCCCCAAGATGGCCCCACGAGGCGCCAACACGGCCCCCGAGACGCCCCCAAGAAGCTCCCGAGCGACCTCCAGGAGGTCCCCCGAGAGTCAGGGCATGTCGCCTGGGCATCGTTTTCGGATGGGCTGGCGGGATTACGCGAAGCGCTTAGAATATGCCCCTATGGCGGCTCCTTGGGACGGCTGAGTGCGATGTATGCTAGATCTCAGTGATCATGGGGCTCTGAAGAAGATGCGCATGTGTCCAACTCCGGCCGAGAAAAGCTCACATAGATCAGGATTTGAATGAACTTGAAAAGGAGCGGGTTCCAGTATGAATGGCTCCGAGCTCGGATAAACCTGTCCCACCGATCTGGGCGCAAGCTGGCCCGTGATGTCGCCCCGGGGGACTCCAGCTTGGGAGGCCCATGTGCGATGTCTACACCTCGGTGGCCATGCGGCTCCAAAAACGGCGCGCCTGAGCAGTACGGGTTTCACAAGAGAAGGGGGGGTGACCGAATTCGGGGAGGGGTCTGATTTGAGCTGTCTTGGAGGGTTCTGGGGCGTCTGGGCAAAGGCCGCCCTTTCATGGCTAGCCTGGGGGGTCTAACACTGCTCGTCTAGGGAGGTTGTGAGCGCCCCTTTTTGTTATGAGATTCGAGTCGAATCTCATCACAAAAAGCGTCGAATCATTCGACATACCCGTCAGAGGAAGCGTTCCGCCTGGGACTGCAGTGGAGAACCCACGCATCGGGGCGCGGGCGGAGCCGTGATGTGCCCCCTGGCGGCTCCCCGTACCGAGGTCCGAACACGATGCTCGCGACATCGCGCGGTGGTCATGACTCTGAAGAGAAAGAGAGGGAGAGAGGGAGGGAGGGAGGGAGAGAGAGAGAGAGAGAAACAAAAAAGAGCGTGTCTACCACCTCCCCCAACAAAAACACAACATGTTAGAAACCTGACTCGACTCGACGCATCCTGGCTGCTGGCACAAGGATGATAAACAGGACGCCAGGGCAAACGGGAACGTCACACGAGCCAATCTGAGACAGGCAAGCTCATGCCCTGGCGTGTGTTAGACACTGAGGCTACAGCTGGATCAACAATGCGATCCCAGGCTCACCGCTCCAGGAACGAATACGTAGTCACCTTGCCCAGTGGGAAACGCTCGTACGCACACGATGTCAAACACTTCACCGTCGCACACACGGTCACGCCATCGTGCCAGCCCTCTGTGCCGACAGCGCACGCACGGAATCCCAGGTGCTCTCGGGAGCGAGCCGTCGCAGAAACACGCACGCTTCCCGCTGCGAGGCGAAGGCGCGGGAGGATGTGGGGACGAGGACGTCGGGCGGCAGGGCACGAGGATATGAGGCCCGAACCCCGCAGAGGCAGGGGCAGAATCCCAGGGCAGTGCCACGACAACCTGTCTCGAGGAGAGAAGAAGAAGAAACACTCCCTTGGGGCCAAGTTCGTCCACCTACGACGGCTCAAAAAGGCCCAGAGACTATCCTTAAAAGGATCCGAAACGCCTGGGACGCTGGTCCCAAGGCTAGACCGTATCCTGGTCCACTGCCCGAGACTGAGGAGAGAAGAAGGGGGGGGGGGGACGGCGGGGGGCGAGCGGTCCCCACCGAGCGGCTCGCAGCCGCCTAGCTCGAAGCAATACAGATTCCAGTACGCACGCACGCACGCACGCACGCACGCACGCACGCACGCACGCACGCACGCACGCACGCACGCACGCACACACACACACACACAAACACACACACACACACACGCACACGCACACGCACACGCACACGCACACGCACACACACACACACACACACACA